ACATCCTACTTGCTAAACAGCAAGAGAGAGAGAGATTCTTTTGGCTCAAACAATCCCTCTTTTCATGCTCTCTAATAATAATAACTGAACTTTATTAATCTCACACCAGAGAAATTTACCTCTGCATTTCAATTCCAATTCCAAACGCAATGCCCTAAACCATGAGGCTGCCACTCCCTCTAAAATGTGTCATTAAAATATGTTGGAAAAATAAAAGCCAATGGGTTCAGAGATCAAGCTGTGTGCATTTGAGATGTTAAAAAAACTTCCTATGGCATGGAGATTAATTGTTATTATAGATTAATCTAATTTTGTTTCTGAATATGTAATTTATGGAAAATCCTTTTCACTACTCCTTGTCCTTACAGAGCTCAGAGTGATATAAATTCATCGCTTTCTGTTCTTAGATGGGTTTTTACTTACAGATAAACTAGCTTACAGTGTGATAGCACAAGCTACTAACCTTTAGCATGTTATATTTTCATTATGGTTGTGAAACGTGATTATTTTACAAGATAGTTTTTACAGCTTGAATTTCATTGCCATTTAAAAACAGTCCCCTCCCGAAGAGGATTCTGGAAATCAAAGCTAGTTTTTAAAAGAAATAGATATAATTTGTGATTTCTTTCATGAACCTTAAGCAAAAAAAAAATACATTGAAGAGTTGCTTACGGTAAGAAAACATTGTTTAAGTCATGTAACCCAGCCCTACTTCTATCCTGACATCCCTCAAACACTTATATAACTTTTGATTGGCCCCAAAATGCAGGAGTCTTTGACTCCATTGCTTGCAGGCTAAGGCTTGGCATATACTGTACGATTTTATGCTGTTTTTGGGTCGATTCTCCAGTCGTGTGAGAATTTTTTGATCGGGATGAGTTACAGCCTGATCGCGCAAGTACATCGGGTAACGAAGATCGATTAGCCTCTCAAACATGTTTGAAATTTAGTCTGCCTTTGTGAGATTGCATCAAAGCGTTGAGCCGGACAGTGTGAAAACATACATTGTGAGCTGTAAACTTTTAAACCCTGTGATTTCGTTGTACAGTTTGAACTGTAGCTGCAGTGTATGCCCAGCTTATTTTGTTTCTGCTCATTAGCAATGCTACAACGAACGTGTAAGTGTGATGAAAAATTAATTTAGCATCAGTAGGATATGTGTGATCAGATAATCATTTTAAAGGTGTCAAAAAAGACCCTTTACTTATTGTTTATTTGGATCCCCATTAGCTCCCACAAAGTGGGTGTTAGTCTTCCGGGGTCCAGAAATCACAGCATATAGATCACATGAAAATACTATAAAATAAACACAAAATTACATTAAATAAATCACATAGGGGGACGTGAAAGAGATACTGCATAACTCACATAAAAGTAAATCCACACTCAAGTCATGTTCACAATGACGCTTCTAAGTGATCTTTGATTTTTCTTTTAAAAGAGTGCATTCTTTATGTGTCTAGTATGTAAAGGAAGACTAGTCCCCTCAATTATTCCTCTGTGAAAAACAGTCCTTATCATGCAATTAGTATTGGGTTTTGGGCAACCAGAGAACCTGAGGTCTCTTGACAAGTCACATGGTTGTGACAGAACCCACTAAATGATTGTTTCTCAATAAAAATTGAGGCTCCTGTTTGTTCAGATTTTTTGTGCATAAATGTTAAAAGGTTCATATGTAATTTTGCCTCAACTCTTAAGCAACACACCTTACTATCCATTTCCTTTACATTGGTTTTAAAAGGGCAATGGAGTACAATTCTAGCTGCTCTGTTCTGTTCTTGAGATCTGGATAGGAAGAACCTTGATCTCCAAGATGCCATGGCAGATCTATGACACTTAGTTCTGCAGGTGTTCATATCTCCTTACTTTCCAGCTCACTATGCATGGTGGCAAAATAAAAAATACTGAGACTTCTGTTTCAATTGGATCTGTCTTATTTCTCTATGTTTAAGCTGTTTAGTCATAGCTTAGTTTAGGTCAGTAGCTTGATCATTGACCCATGGGTTATAAATATCTACACACATCTGTCTACAACAGCATACTACAGATTAAGAGCAATAATTGCACATTTACCGCACTATTTAGGGTCAAAATCAGAGTTTAAAAAGTGAATAAGATATCAGACCTCCACGCCCTGCAGACTGACTGCTAGTCACTGCTGGAAAGGGCGGCTTTGTAAATGTAAATCAGTAATGATATCAACTCCACCAGTAATGATTTATAGGCTTTCAAATTAAATCTCACCAGCATAGGAGTGCTGATAAGTTTGACATAAAAAAAAACAATCCTATAAACAAAACTAAAGCAGTTATATCACAGTTTAGATATACATGAACTTCTAACAAAGAACAAAAGCTACAAAAAAAAAACATTTTTAAGCTGTCATGAGCTGTATTTATAATGTTAGGAAGTTATGGCACCACCAACGGTAATCTGATTAAATCAGTTTTTATCTCTAAGTTTATTGTTCTAGCTCTTTGTGGGGGGAAATCATCTATATTGGTTTACTGATCAAGGAGAAGAAAAATCAGAAGGAAGAAAGTCACATAAAGTTTCTGTAGCTGTGAATCTGCAGCTCTTCACTACACAGCCCTACACTGGAAACCTGGCTAAATTACCTGGAACGCTTATGTTTAAACTGATTATCTCAAAAAATTGAGTCTACGTAATAAACTTTTTGTAGAAGTTTATATTTTTTGTCGAACTTTAAAGTTTGTGATTTATTCCTACTTCTAATAAATAAAACTTTATTTAAAGATTATACATTTCCATTTACTGTGGTACAGTAAATGGAAGGAAATATCAGCTGGGCTGCTGCCATCAACACCATTGATTATAGATGATAGACTTGGGCCTCTTTTTTCCCCCAGAGTTTAGTCCTGTTTCTCTTCCAGATATAGCTATAGGCTTAGTTTTGATTAGCATGTACTCTCTTTCATCCCTTTTTACATAAAAACTGTCTCAGAAGTCAGCAGCTTAATGTTTCTTTCTTATATAGAGAAACCTGCTAGTTTAACATTACCCTTCTTACAAGTTAAAGAGAACTGCTTTTATGATCCTCTTATATGTCTACTTCTCTCTCCTTGAACCCCAGTCAGCATCGGCGGAAGACCACTTACACTGAGCCTGGTTCTGCTGGAGCTTTCTTTCTGTTGAAAGGAAGTATTCCTTTCCCTGCATGCATGTCTATGTTGACTCAGCTCAAGGCAATACCTCCTTTGGCCCAGCATCAGCCGGATGACCAGGGGAACCTTCAGCCTAGTCTAATAGAAGTTTTTTTTGTATAAATGTGAGTCAAAATGATTTGTTTTCACTCCATTCAGCTCTTCCTGTCATCACCTAGGAAAGCAACCCCACAGCATAATGTCCCCACCACTATGTTTCAGGCTAGTTCTGTATGTTTAGAATGTTGTGCCAGTGATGTCTTTTTTTAACATATGTAGCATGTTGGAAAAAAGTTGTAATATCTAACAGGAGCAACTTATTAGCAGTTTTCCCTGCTTGGATTTTGGAAATCTACATCTGCAGATCCTTACAGCTCTTTATGAGTGATGATTTTCTTATGGCCGCTCTTAGATAAAAAAAAATTTGGTATTTATAAAGAACATTGTATATCCGCTGCTACAGTCTTGACATGTGAATATTTAAAGTAGTGTGATGAAACTGATCTTCTCTCTTCAAAGCCATGGCTTTGCAGAGACATGTGAAACTAGTGCAGACATTATCAAATTAACCAACCATTAATTGGATACAAATTTCCACTTTGGGATACAAACATCTATTTAAAAAATTTACTGATTGAGGTAAAAGTAATGCCATAGCATCTGATTGTACGAGTGGATGTGTAGGTTTCACAGAAACAGAAAGTGACCCTGTTCTTGAGGAGGTTTCATCCACTAGTGGACAGAGGGGGGCTAAGACCCTCCAGCAGTGGAGGGTTTTACAACTTGTATTATGGCTTTAAGTTCATCAAGCACTGTAAAAACTTTATGAAGACAAGGATAAGAAACAGAAATATTTGAATTGTGAAATTATTCAACCAAACATTGAAGGAGAAGCTGCAGAAGAGGATCTAAATGCCTCCACAAACCCAAGGCACATACCTTTTCAACTAATAACCTCTGTCTGGTTTTGTTAGTTGGACAGCTTACATAATCTGGTTCAACTGGTTACATAGGAACAATTCTGTAGATTTTCTTCTAGAATTTGTTCTACTTTGGGCAATCAGACAGTCATCTGAAACTCCTTTTATAATCATACAAAAAGAAAGATGCATGCAATACAATCAACACACTTGTGATTTAATCAGTATAGAGGACAACAGTGGATGTGATATTCATCCAACAAAATATTCTAATATAACTGAAAAAGAAGACCTAGATCATCCTTAATTCAAATAAAAAGTTTGATACAGGATTAATATAACCTAAAATGGGAAACCTACTAACTTTGCTCAACCCTGATCAGAGCGCTGTAACAAATATGAAAGCAAAAACTGGATTGATGTGCTATCGACCTTCATGCATACTTATCAAGCTATGTGTTCTTTGTTTGGGTTACTTTGTATTGAGGTGTGTGCACCTCTATTTTGTTTTCAAACTGTAAGGTCACAGTGTAGTAAAAAGCATCTTTATTAGCTCAAGGATGTGTGTATACAATAACATGTACCTTATATATTTATGTGCTTGTTCACTGTATAAGAATTAATTGCTTTTATTCTTTTGATTTTTTTATTAAAATTAAAATCTCCATTTTTTTTCTTTTATTATTATTATTAAAGAGCTATCTAAAACCGGGGTGAGCAGTCTGGGGTTAGCTGGAGCGAGAAGATACAAAAGTAACAAGCATTGTGATGCGTCACATCCACATCCGGTGAGTGAACGACAGGAAAAAGGCGTTCAGACTTCTGATTGGTTAGCGGAATGTTACGAGGTCTCTGATTGGATAGAAATTTGCCGCTTCTAGACTTCTATTTTGAACATAAATACAAGCAGCTTCCCAGTGCGTCGCAGAGATCCAGGGGGCTGTCAGAGAGATACTACTGTGTCCTGCAGCTCTCTGCTCCGTAATTATGTGGCTCAGTTACTGCTTTTTATAACACCAAATGGTCGTTTTTATCCACACGGATTCACCGAGTCACCTACTACCGGTGTTTCGGAGACGATTTTTTCGGAAATGTGTTCTTAAATTGACTGCTAGTTAGCTGGTTGCTTGGCTTCCGGGGTAGCGTGCGGTTTATGGTGTTTTGATAATTGGGATCCCCTGGCTCAAAGCTCAGACTAAATTTACTCAAAGTGTTCCCTTCTCAGCGATTCATCCAGGTTGCACGGTAGGAAAGATGGAATCGCGCTTCGCTCCTGCTAGTCCGCTAAGCGTCGCCTTTAAAAGCAGGCCCGACGGGATCCCCGGGTTTTCCTCGCTAACGCTACCCGACATGAACGGTAAAAACTCGCACTGCAGGAATCTGTTCTCCCCCGGACCAGAAACAGTGTTGTCCCCGGTCACCAATTTGGCTCTGGACATGAACAAATTAGTGGGACTTGGAAGGTATTTCTATCTATAATCTTTGCTTTGTTTTTTTCCTTGTTTACAAAAAAAAAAAAAAAAAACACACAGAGGAAATATAAATCTGTCTTTGTTTTTTACTTTCTCAGCCAATGTGATACCCCAAAAAGGAGAAAATATCAGCTGGAGAAGGTTCCCTCTTTTGCCTCAGACGTCTCATCTGATGCTGGTGAGTTTTCACTGCAGCCCTTTTTTATTGATGCTATTAGAGTCTGAGCCTCCATCTTATAGAGTTATTTATTGCTTCTAATTCAATTCAGATATTTATAACATCAGCTCTGCTGATGATGCCTTTCCAAACCTGCTATTAACTGAATCTTCCCTTTTCATTCCCAGGCCTTGGCTTAGATTTCCCCAGTCCTGTGGATGGGGAAGTGGAAGATGCGTAAGTTTTAATTTCTTTAATTTTCTCTCCCCCCTTTCTGTCTCTAATCAGCGTTTATCACGGCCCCACTCCCAACCCTGCCCAGTTCTTGTCCTCCCTCTAAACCCCCACCTCTCCAACCATGTGCTTTGGGTTCAGCTGAGCCTGATATTTCCTCTATAGGATTATTGTTCTCCTATATGGCTCGCTGCTACTAATCTGATGAGGCTGATTGAGGCATGACTTTCTTTATATTTAAAGATGGGAGCTGATAAATTTCCCCTCCATCAGTCCAACTACTGAAAAAAGAAAATCCCTTTTGATTTCAAACATGACAGCAATAAAGAACTTTAAAAATTATTTGGCTTTAGATAAACACAACAAGAGCAGATTCAATTTAAATGAGACCAGTTGTTAAGGATTTAATTGAAATATATAAAATTGAAACTTTTAAACCAACTTTCAGCTCTCATTTAAATATTATCATCAATTAAACTTTTTTTTTTTTTTTTTTTTTTTGGACAAAAAAATAATTTGCCTCTTGCCTAACCTTTGGGTGGAACATTCTTGTAACACAGAAATACATGTTTAGATTGTATTTTAAAGTGCTTCCTGAAAGCCTGGAGGATGCAACTCTCTCTGAAAGTTGCCTGCTGTTATCTCCACCAGTTGCCTGGTCTTGGGTGGCCTCCCGGTCGGGTTGGGGGCATCTGCTGCTCTCTGATTGGAAGTTCTTTTGCAGCAGCGCTGGGTGCTAATGGGCCCATTGACCTCCTTTCACAGCTGTTTGGTTGCTAGGAAATTTCCAGGTCAGGGTGATGTTTGAGGTGGGGGGCTTTGGTCTTAGGTTAGATGATGCCCATCCCCTTTGGGTTGTGGCACACTCTTCCTCAGCATTGATGTTTTTAAATGGGGGGTTTCAGGTTTTGCGTCTGCGCTATAGAAATGAGGACACCCCTATAGAACTGCTTTCCCGTCTTCCAGACTCCTGTGAATGGGGCACGCTCCCCCTATCCACAGACAAAGAGCTCCTCCAGCTCGGGGCTCAGCGGCACACAGCTGCTAGATTAGCTGATCTCTGCATCACTTCTCCTGCCTCCCTTCCCCCTCGGAGCTGCACGCCTGTTTAGCATACAGGTGGGCATTACCGCGGCGTCAAGGACCACCTCTTAGCTCATATTCACCCTACTTCCTCTAAACCTTCCCATCTCTGTCTTCTTCAGAGGCTTAACAGATGTTTTTTTTGTTCAGACTCGCCACCAACATGATTATTTCTTTTTTATTACAGGTTTGAAAAAGCCATTCAGCAGTCACAGCGAATTGTCAACGAGTAAGTTTCTTTGAATCTGAAATTAAAGTTGTTGCGTTTTTTTTTGTTTGTTTTTTGACAGTAGTGTTTTGAAAAGCTTGGGTCAGGTTTAAAAATAAATTACTGGCTTTGCATTAACACTGAGAAAAGAGCGACATTTCCTATTATTGGGATTGTTTTTTCAAATTTTAATTTCCCTTTTTTTCCCATTTTAGGAAGATGCCAATTAGAAGAATCAACTCATTGCCTGTGAGTATTGCCCTGTTTTTGAAGACCTTGTTTAAACTGTTGCCGTCTGCATTACTGTTCAGTTCAGTGACTGATGCAAGATGGCGGCTTATTGTCTGAGTAATCTGGCTGTTGCATCTGATTAAAATAGTATCGAATACAAAATGTAGACGCTTTTAGAAATGAAAAGTAGATGTTGGTATGGAGTGAATTGTGTTCCATTACCTATTGTTTGGGGAAAAGGCTCCCCGGAAATGAAACGTTTTGAGAGTAACGTTGCTGATCCGGATGCTCACTCCTAATGTTCACATTGACCAATAGTAATGTTGCCAACATCCATTCAGAAGAATAAAAACATTTCTTCACTCCTCACTCCAGAGGAAGTTGCACCTCGAACTCAAATTTCCATTTACAAAAGTTATTTTTTGCTTTCATCAATAAAGGAACAAAATTCAGCCCATAAAGGTTTTCATTCTAACTGGTTCTGTGTTTGAATCCCTGCATCAGCCTCAGCTCCTGGGTTTAAGTCCGGCTTTAAAAGGACAGGAGACAGACTCCAACCGCTATGGAATATTCGGCCAGCAACCTCCACAAGTGAACCCCTCTGTCTCACAACTCGACAACAAGGAGAATCTTCCAGAGGTTAGTGGATTAATGTTTACCGCCAAATGCATCAACTTGTTTAACATAAGATTAGCTGTTACTATGGCAAAAGCATTGCCTTTTTCAAGCTTTTAAAATTCATTTATAATCCCTGCAGTTATTGTTTAAATTCTCTTCACCAGATGTGTTTTAATGTTGATAAACACAAGTATTTGTAGAAACATGGTGAATAGAATGCCTTGTTCCATGTTTTTTAAACAATGTTTTTCTCTAATACTGTCTTGTTTAATGTTGTCTCATTTTTTTTAGGATTTCTTTGAATTCAAGAAACCATCCAAGCCTGCGTCCCGCTGCCGCATGCGCTCCCTCCATGGTGGTCATTCGAAGGAAGCCTTTGCTGCCCGCCCCAGCTCTGCTCCGGCACTCATGGTGAAAATGCCTTCACAATCTCTTTGTTGCGTTTAGAAACGGACAGAGATAAATTCTTTTTTTTGTGTGTTTGCAGTTTGCTTCACCTTCTCGAACCCAGCCGCTAGAATTTGACTCCAGCCCTGTGTTTCTGAGGCGCTCCTCCCTCACCTCCTCTCTAAACGATGATGAAGATGATGGCTTTTTGGATGTTCTTGATGATCACATGGAGGTAAAGTGCAAATTTAAGGTTTAAGAGCTGCTAGCTGGGAATAAAATGAACTAAGGACATTTTAAATACAAAAAACATTTGATGTTATAATGATGTTCCTTTATTCTTTCAGGATGATTCTGGGATGCCCACAGGAATGGCGAGCTTGCTCACTGCTCCTCTGATGGCTGAAAGTACACCAGAGGACTCTGTAAGTTTTTCATTAGAAAATAAATTATCCCATTGAGAGACTTTAAGATCAGGACTAGTTTAAGTAACATTTTTATCCATCTTTAGCCCATCATCCGTTGTCGGCCACGAAACCTGTTTCGCTCGCCTTCCATGCCCAGTCCGATGTCCCGGCCCTCAGTGAAGCGTCCCGACTGCCCTGCTGATGAAAACACTCCTGTGAGGGTAAAGAGACGGCGGAGCGTTGGAGGGACACCCGTCAACAGCCTGGAGCAAAACTCTGAATCTCCAAGAATGGTGATTATCTCTCTTTATAACCTGAGTTCTGTCTGGATGAAATGGTCTTAACTTTATTCATTTTAATCCCTTAAACCTTTAAATTACCACATGGGTATTTTAACCAGTGTATATAAACATCAAAACCTATAAATCAATGTGTTATGAGCTGTTATTTCTAGTTTTATTTCTGAAAGCTCCATTAAAGATCAGTCAAATCTGACTGCAGGGCTAGGCTGAGCTCAGCAGCAAGGCATCCAGGCAGTTTATATGCTCTGTGCCGTTTTATAAACGACGAATAAAGTTTATTATAATTTAATTCTGGCAGATGGATGAAGTGCTTTCTATGCTATACAGAATTGTGTAGGAAACGACGCGGCTATCTGTTAATCCGTGAAGTAAAAGAAGAAAGTGTCGTTTCTGCTCTCCCTGCAGAATGAATTGAATATGAATTAAAAGGAGAACAAATGCCCTCGGTGAAACCGACCTTAGCACGACACCTGTACAGTCGGTCAAAGACCAGGCTAGCATTCTGAGTCTAGGGTTTTAATCTGTTTGGTAGTGCGCTGTCATTGGAGGAAGGACATGGGTGGCATAATCTCAGACATGTTGAGCATAAAGCAGGATTTACATTCCCACAGGCCTCCCTGCGATGAAGGCCTCTGTAGCTGTAATGCACCACAATATTTCTTCACTTTAGTTGAACTCTGCTGCATCAATGTTGCTGTCAAAGGCCAGATGTGAATTTCCACATGAGTGACACACAAGGCTGGAATAAACATGTTTTTATTTTGTTGGCCCAGCTTTACCAATTAAACTGAAAATTATCTATAGCTAAATTCGACAGGAATACTCTTTAATAATGGCTGATATTCTCTAGGAATCATCAGATTTTAGAGCTGCTGCTTTCTGATTGAACAGCACCTTCCAGGAAGCAAACTCTGCATCCGCTTCACAGACTTCTGTTTGCTGGTGTGATTGGCAGGTTTTAACACCCATCCTTAACTCCCCAAATACACTCTTAATCGCTTTCTACTCTCCTTCCAGAGTTGTTTGCTGCTCCAGAGATCCAAGTCTTTCTGTCACACTGAGATTGAAAAGCTGCTGGACAAGGCGTCCACCTCTAACGAGCTAATAGGAGACTTCACCAAGGTGAGAGAGGCTCAAACGCCCTTGGCTCTGGTTGTAGCGTAAATAAAGCGGGCATCCTTTCTAATCCAATTACCCTTTCTGTCTTTTTAGCCTTTTATTCTACCAACTGTGGAGGGAAAACATCAAGACCTCAAGTACATCACCTCAGAGATGGTGGGTACAGTCATTCTGCTAAAAATGTCTGACCGCATGTCATGGATCCAGTTCTTAACGCATCCGTTGGCTTTTAGATGGTGAAGGCTCTGTCCGGCCAATTTGACCACCTGGTGGATCAGATCATCATCATAGACTGCCGCTACCCCTACGAGTTTGAAGGTGGACACATCAAAGTAAGCTAACATCACCCACCCTGTTTACAGAGTGACAACAGTCGGTTTAACCGGGATGTTCTAGGCAAGCAGAAACGCTCAAAGATCACTTGTTATTCGTAGTTGTGGTTGTTTTATATCAGGGGGCTCTGAATCTGCACCAAGAAGACCAAGTTGAAGATTTCCTCCTCAAGACCCCCATCGTCCCATCCAGCCCAGAGAAGAGAGTCGTCATCGTCTTCCACTGCGAGTTCTCGTCGGAGCGCGGCCCTCGGATGTGCCGCTTCGTTAGGGAACGAGACCGCGCCCTGAACGAGTATCCCAAACTCCACTACCCTGAACTTTACATCCTCAAGGGGGGATACAAGGACTTCTTCCCTTTTTTCCAGGTTGGTTTTGCTTTCTGATTTCACTCATGCAGATGAAGTGATGTTCTACAGAACATTTACTGATTTTCCTTAATTTTGGGAGAATGAACAGTTCATATCATGGCTACGGCATAGATGCTCTTATTTCAGCTGTTAAGCTGGTTATAAAAAGTATCTTTCCTTCAGCTCTTAAAAGCCACACATTTGGACATAATCTACTAAATGTTTTTTTATTAACAAACAAATGATCAGACGGCACAAACATCTCCAGTTAATAAAAGATCAGCTAGTCAGTTTGTGACTTAAACTCAGAAATTAATTCAATTCAATTCAGTTTATTTATATAGCGCCAAATTCACAACACATGTCATCTCAAGGCACTTTACAGTTCAACCAGATCAAATTGATACAAAGTTTTCTATCTAAGGAAAACCAGTTGATTGCATTGACTCATTGACTCAAATACAATCCCCCACACTAAGCATGCTTGTAGCGACAGTGGAGAGGAAAAACTCCCTTTTAACAGGAAGAAACCTCCAGCAGAACCAGGCTCAGTGTGAGCGGCCATCTGCCGAGGCCGACTGGGGTTCAAGGAGACAGAAGCAGAGATACAAAAAGCAGCTGTAAAAGGCGGCCCCGTCCAGGAAACACACAGCCAGGCAGACGAGCTCCAAGGCAGCTCCCATGCCAGAGGACGAAGAAAGCACATCCACTCAGTCACGGTCAGAGAAACAGGACCACACTGGAAAACAGGCCGATCTCCAACATCTATAAACAAGGGTGTTGATAGAAGCAGCACAGCTGATGTTTCTTTCCAGGATGACGTCACAGCCAAACAGGAACAGACGAGGCAAAGCTACTCTGAGGAAAAGCAGAGAGAGCAGAAGGTTAGAGATTGAACTAACAGATTCTGCAGAATAGGAGAACAGAGAGAGAATGAAGCAGAATGATGAAATGGGGGTCCCTATGTCCTCCAAAAGTCTAAGCCTATAGCAGCATAACTATAGAGATAGCTCAGGATAACCTGAGCCACTCTAACTATAAGCTTTATCAAAAAGGAAAGTTTTAAGCCTAGCCTTAAAAGTAGACAGGGTGTCTGCCTCACGGACTAAAACTGGTAGTTGGTTCCACAGGAGAGGAGCCTGATAACTAAAAGATCTGCCTCCCATTCTACTTTTAGAAATTCTAGGAACCACTAGTAAACCTGCAGATTGAGAGCGAAGTGCTCTGTTAGGAACATAAGGAACAATCAGATCTCTGATATAAGATGGAGCTTGGCCATTTAAGGCTTTATATGTGAGAAGGAGGATTTTAAATTCTATTCTTGATTTAACAGGAAGCCAATGAAGAGAAGCCAGGACAGGCGAGATATGATCTCTCTTTTTAATTTTCATTAGAACTCTGGCTGCAGCATTTTGGATCAGCTGAAGGCTTTTAACTACAGTTTGTGGACTTCCTGATAGTAAAGAATTACAATAGTCCAGCCTTGAAGTAACAAATGCATGGACTAGTTTCTCAGCATCACCCCTGGACAGGATATTTCTAATTTTTGCAATGTTCCTCAGATGAAAGAAGGAAATTCTAGAAACCTCTTTGATGTGGGATTTAAATGACAGGTCCTGATCAAAAACAACACCAAGATTTTTTACTTTATTATCTGAAATCAGTTTAATCCCATCCAAATGAAGTGACTGGCTAATCAGTTTCTTTTTCAGAGACTCTGGTCCAAAGACTATAACTTCTGTTTTGTCTGCATTCAGAAGCAGAAAGTTAAGAGTCATCCAGGTTTTTATGTCTTCAAGACATGCCTGTAATCTATGTAATGGGTTAGCTTCATCTGGATTTATAGACAGATATAGCTGGGTATCATCAGCATAACAGTGGAAATTAATCCCATGCTGTCTAATAATTCTACCAATTGGGAGCATGTATAAAGTAAAGAGAATTGGTCCTAGCACTGATCCCTGTGGTACTCCACAGGTAACCTTTGAGCGTGTTGAAGATCTATCATTAACATGAACAAACTGAATTCGATCAGATAGATAAGATTTAAACCAGTCTAGTGCTGTTCCTTTAATTCCAACAAAATATTCAAGTCTTTCTAAAAGAATATTATGGTCAACTGTATCAAATGCAGCACTAAGATCCAACAGGACGAGCACAGATACAAGTCCATTATCTGAGGCCATGAGAATATCATTAGTGACTTTCACCAGAGCTGTTTCAGTGCTATGATGAGCTCTAAAGCCAGACTGAAACTCTTCAAAAAGTTCATTATGGTGGAAGTGATCGCAAACTTGTTTGGCAACTACTTTCTCAAGAATTTTGGATAAGAAAGGAAGATTGGATATAGGTCTATAATTGACCAAGTCATCTGGGTCAAGAGACGGTTTCTTAAGCAGAGGTTTAATTACAGCAACCTTAAAAGCTTTAGGTACATATCCCTGTAACAGAGATAGATTAATCACATCTAAAATGGAGGAGGAGATCAAAGGGAATACCTCCTTAAATAACCTGGTTGGAACTGGATCTAACATACAAGTTGAAGGCTTAGATGAAGACAATAATTTTGCTAATTCAGAGAGTTCAACTGGATCAAAGCAGTCTAAACCCAGTTCAGATTCCATGACTACCTCAGGTACAATCGCGGATAGAGGAGTGCTTATGATCTTATTTTTAATAAGATCAATCTTATTTATAAAGAATCCCATAAAGTCATTGCTGCTAAGAGCAGGTGGAATGGACGGTTCAACAGAGCTATGGCTCTGGGTGAGTTTGGCAACTGTATTAAAAAGAAATCTAGGATTATTCTTATTCTCCTCTATTAATGAGGAGAAGTATGCTGCTCTTGCTTTACAAAGGGTCCTCTTATACAGCAGTAAACCATTTTTCCAGACTAGGAAGGACTCTCGCAGGCCTGTGGAGCGATATTTTCTCTCCAGTTTCCTAGCATTTTGCTTCAAAGTACGCAGCTCTGCATTAAACCAAGGAGCAAGCTTTCTATTTTTAACGGTTTTCATTTTCAAAGGAGCTGCGTTGTCTAAGGCAATACGCAGAGAACTAGCAACCCCATCAACAAAATCATCAACCTGTGAAGGGGAATAAGCTAAACTTTTGCACTCTGCAGCACTGCTCAGTGACACAGAGGAGAGAGAAAGTGAAGCAGATTCTTTAAAATTTATAACTGCACTATCTGATAAAGATCTACTAAAATTGAACCTTCTTTTGGGGGAGGAGAACTCTGTTAAAGTAATCCTGAAGGTTATTAGAAAGTGGTCAGAGAGGACAGGGTTGTGAGGAAATACTGTTATTTCTTCACATTCTATGCCGTATGTCAGCACAAGATCCAAAGTATGAAGATGAGAATGCGTGGGACTATTCACATTTTGAACAAAGCCAATAGTGTCTAAGATAGCATTAAAGGCTGCTCTTAAGCTATCGCCTTCAATGTCAGCATGGATGTTAAAATCTCCCACTATGATGACCCTGTCAGTATTTAATACCAAATCAGAAAGGAACTCTGAAAACTCATCTAAAAATTCAGAGTAAGGACCTGGTGGACGATACAAAGTTACAAAAAGAAGAGGTTTTCTTGCCTTGAAATTTGGATCAGGGAAATTAAGGGTTAAATGTTCAAAAGAGTTGTAGGTATTAACTGTTTTGGGAGTAATCAGTAAGTCAGACTGGAAGATTGTTGCTACTCCTCCTCCTCGCCCAGAACTTCTGGGGATGTGAAAATTTAAATAGCTTGAAGGAGTTGCCTCATTTATGCTCACATAATCCTCTTGCTGCAGCCAGGTTTCTGTAAGGCAAAACAAGTCAATGTGATTATCACAAATCAAGTCATTAACTAGTAGACTTTTAGAGGAAAGCGATCTTATGTTAAACAGACCGCATTTAATTGTTTTAACTTTTTCCCCAATTTGAGTTATTTTGATTTTAATTAGATTATCATGATTTACTCCTTTGGGAATCTTTGCTAATTTATTAGATTTTGGTCGTGGGCAAGACACTGTCTGGATGGAGTAAAGAGTGGGTAACAGTAGAGAAGCTGCAGAGATGTGTGTTAAACTACAACTCTGCTTCCTGGTCTGCACCCTGGGTGGTCAGGGTTTTGGAGGACTAATAAATGTGGCCAGATTCCTAGAAAGAAGAGCTGCACCATCCAAAGTGGGATGGATGCCGTCTCTCCGAATCAGACCAGGCTTTCCCCAAAAGGATTGCCAATTATTAATGTAGCCCACGTTGTTTTCAGGGCACCACCTAGACAACCAGCGGTTGAATGACGACATGCGGCTAAACATGTCATCACTGGTCAGATCAGGGAGGGGACCAGAGAAAATTACGGAGTCCGACATTTTTTTGGCAAACTTACACACCGAAGCAACACTAATTTTAGTGACCTCCGATCGGCGTAACCGGGTGTCATTACCACCAGCGTGAATAACAATCTTACTGTATTTAACCTTATCCTTAGCCAGTAGTTTCAGGTAGGATTTGATGTCGCCCGTTCTGGCCCCCGGCAAACATTTGACTATGGTCCCTGGTGTCTCTAATGCCACGTTTCTGACTATGGAGCTGCCAATCACCAGAGTGGGCTTCTCAGTGGGTGTGTCACTGAGTGGGGAAAACCGGTTAGAAACGTGAACGGGTTGGTGGTGACCAGTGGGCAGAGATCCACGACTACGCTTTCTGCGTACAGTTACCCAATCGCCTGGCTGCTCAGGCACTTTTGGAGGACAGCTACGTGGGGGGCCTACTTCAACAGCCTGAAGCCTGGATTCTAACTCTGACACCCTCGCCTCCAAAGCTACAAAAATACTACACTTATTACACATCCCATTATCACTAAAGGAGGCAGAGGAATAACTGAACATCTGACACAGAGAGCAGGAGAGAGGAGAGGAAGAAGGAAGAGTTGGAAAAGAGTCAAGGGAGGGAGAGAGAGAAGCCATAGCAATGCTAAGCTAGCGCTAGCCTAGGCTAGCTACTCCTTGCTATCAGAAATAAAACCGTGTGAAACTGACAAGTGCTCAGTAGAAAAGTGCAGCAGAAGGTGCTATGTTTTAAAGTAGTCAGTTAGAGTTACTTAGATACAGAGATATCACAGAGAAAATAACTTAACTTCAGATGGAGATCCTCTGAACAGCTGCACACTCAGTTAATCCAAACAGGAAGTGAACAGGTCCAAACAGGAAGCAGGAAGCAAAAACCAATACTAGAATAATAGAAATTAGGTTCATATTATCACCTCTGAAGGATTTCAGTGTCTAATTCAATTGCCCCAACATTTAACATTATTTTATGGGTTTTTATAATCAGTTTAAGTAGGGCTGGGCGACATGGCTTCAAAAACGTTTTTTTTTTTTAAAACCCCCCTTCCTCTCCTAAGTTTAATAATGATGACAAATTAAGTTTTCCTTTCAAAACCTACCCAATTAATTTCCCTTTAACAATCAAACCAATCTGCTAGTAAAGCCAGGATCACCACTGTAACCTGTTCCACTTTTATAATGATGAAAACAACTTGTAAAATGTTAAGCTGACACCTTTAAACTTGTTAAGGCAGGTTAGGCTGATGGCTGCATGCCTGTTGGGAGAGGTGGATGGAGATGTGACTTTCTCTAAACTTCATCCCACCTTTGCCGTGACATCAGTTCTAAACACCCCACTGATACTGAAAACAAGTTAATAACTTCATTCACTCTCGGCTGTAGGTGTAGCCCTATTTATGGTGCAGAAATTCATAAAGGTTTTCGCTTGTTTCTAGCAAATAAAGCATAGAATAACAAAATTCCTACGTTCATTTTTAGTGTAAAATTACAAAAATGTATTTCTAAAATCAAAAAGCTGAGTTTCATTAGAAATTTTAATCTCCATGGTGGGGTTGGTGTGTGTTGGTCCCCTAAAAAGCATGCCGTTTCCTTCACAGACGCAGTGTGAACCTCAGTCCTACCGGCCGATGCACCACGAAGACTTTAAGGAGGATCTGAGGAAATTCCGCCAGAAAAGTCGTACCTGGGCCGGGGAGCGCAGCAAGCGAGACATGTACAGCAGATTAAAGAAGCCGTGATCGTCCTCCCACCCCTGCCTTCCCCACAAACAGACAGAGCCCATCAATTAGAAACGCCTTTTGGGATTTGACCAGCAGAAAAAGGACTTTTTCATAAATCCTCCACATTTTATCATTTATATTTATGCAAATTTCCACATGGGAAGACTTGCAGGGAACAAATCCTCCTACTCAAATGAATGCCGAGTTTCTACAAGTGTTTTTGTTTTTAAGAAAACCACTTGGACCTATTGCCCATTTATAGTGTGTGTCTTTTTATTTTATTTTTTTACTTTTTTTTTTATCTGTCTTTTCTGGAAGCACAAATAAGTGACAGATTGCAATAATACAACTGAACTAAATGCTAAATCTGAATTTTGTCTTTAATTTACATTTTATTTAAGCACTTACTCTTAACACAACAAGGTGCTTTTTCTTTTTTATACTCCTTTTTAATATATATTTTTCTCATAGCTTGGCCCTGAATTAGACATTATCATTGTAATACTTTGTCCAGAATTTCCAAAAAAAAAAAAAGCAAACAAAAAGCTAATTGGATATTTGAATTTCATATAAAAAGATGAAGTCAGACCTTTTCTTTTCCCTTCTTACTGATCGGTTGCAGAACTTCTAAGTGAAATACCAAAGCAAGCCTGGTTGCAGTTTTATTCCTTATGCTGCAGGTCGGCGAGAGCGGAAAATATTTTTTCAATATTTCATCTTTTTCTTTTTTTGTTTTTTGCTTTTGACTCCTTAATTTTCAAAGAGATAATGTCTTGCTCTGTGTCTGAACCTTTGATTTTGGTGGCCTCAGTATTTCGGTATGGGTTTGTGAGGGAGCAGCTGAAATAAATATCCAATGTGCATTCAGGTGGCTGCTTTTGTAGCCTTTTTCTAAAGAAAAATGTAGAAGTGTTAAAAGTTCTGATTCAAAGGTGACATGCAAGTGATTATGGCTTAAAAATTAAAAACCACTCTTTTACACCAAATCTGATTTTTATTTTTTTCCTTTTAAAAAATGGCTTCCTTTTTACTTTAGTATTCCCTTGAGTTTACATGAATTTATTGCTAATAAAGCTGTGAAACATGCTTGTGTTTTTTAAAAAGACAAAGTTTTCTGTCCTTGATTTGTAAACAAAACTAACTCATGGACTGTTTGCAGTTCGCTTTACACCCCAATGCTCATTAGTTTAGTTAATATTTAAGAACAAAACGTGACAACCTGTTAATCATGGGGAGTTCATTGGAGGGCAAAAACTTCACATGGTTTATACAACTGTTAGTGTTTTATATGGCCTTTTATCTTCTATTAACAGTCCTTCAACTCTTCCAGTTTGTACCCGCTCACAGACTTCAAACACTTAAACTGGTTTGTTCTATTGGAAGAAACTATCACAAAATGTCCGTTCTGATGCCAGGGCATTTTTTTCTGCCATGTTACTTGATTAAACAAGAGCAACTAACCTAAAGATAAAAGAAGTCCTGTAACATTTCTATAAACGGATTACAAGCGACTAAACAAGGATCTGTCAAATAAAATTTTTGGAACAATTTGTACCTGAAATCTCTCAAATTCTGAAGCACGTTGTGGTGAAACTATTTCTGTAGCCACCAAGGTGCATCAGGAATTATTGTGAAATCTATTTGACCACTGCTAAGTAAGAGGATGCAGCTCAATATTGGTTTCCTTTCAGGCCTCAACTTAAATTATGGTCTGTAAAGTTTGTTGGAAGTCGGATGCTTTATCTTTTCTGAAACCAGTTATTTTTTATTCTGTTTTCCTTTTTTAGTCATTTGACTATGTAAAGAATACAAATACAAAATCCCATTTTTGTCCCACAATGGGGAATTTGTGGTTTTTACACCAAAAGGTTATAGAAGTGGTGGCACAATGTGCCCCTTAGAAAAGTGTATAAAAATAGCAGGATAATAAAACTGCATTTTAATGTAAGGTGTTTTTACAATATAAATCAATAACAGATGTGCACATTATTACCTGAATTGTAATGGATATGTGAAACATAGCAACACCAGGGATGTGCAAAAGAAATCACAGTATGTTATTAAACTGAATAAGACAAATTAAAAGTTTCATGTAAAGGTGTTGAAAAATTGAAGGTAGTCCATTATTCAAACCCTTTGGAAAGTACTGGTACAACTGGAAGAAATACTGAAACTTGAGAAAGCTTTTCTTGAAATAAGGTCATTTTCATTGGTTCTGTGCAGATGAAGCAATTTTCCAAATGAATAACAGCAACATACAAAAAAAAGAACAAAACCAGTATTTCAAAGGGGTAGTATCTAATAATATTTTCTTATTTTAAGGCAGAAACAGTCACTCTATTGGAAGAAGTCTTATTTACCTGCTGAAATTAAGCTCAAATACTTATGAAAGTAAGTACAAATCTGTTAATAAAATCTATATTTGACATCTGACACTAATTTTGTGTCTCTTCTGTTTTTTTGCCACCTCACACCAGAATTTAATCTGAGGAAATAAATGCATCACTGTTCTCCCTACTTACAGCAGTTCATCACTCGTCCCATAGTTGCCATGTATTGAAACAGCATAAAACTACGTTGTAAAATCTGTAAAAATCTCTCAAGATACATAGAGCAAGTAATTACAACAATCAGCCAATAGAATGGGTGTTTTTGCTCTTAAAATTAGATAATTCGATAGTCTTTTTATTTTAATAATTTTGTTCCATTAAAAAAATGGTGTCTCCTGTTTAATAAGGGGAAAATTAATCCACGAAAAAATGCATTTTTGCAGTGTAAGTCCTTGTTTCTATGTTTTTCCCGCCTGAACCGTATAACCCTTTTTAGGAGCTGCAAATGCAGTTGAACGGGTGAGGTGGTTCAGTTTGTTCTGTCCGGGCTTAAGTCCTGCTTATCCAGCGTTGTTCTTGAGCATGCTGACAGATGTCCTCCCAGAGGGTGACAGTTTGAGCCTGAGGGTTAAAATCTGGACATATTTAGGCGTTTTAACGAGACAGTGTCCTCAAAGGCTACTAATGTTGTTTTGGAATGGATTTGAATACAGCCTCTGGAACTGGTCTGATGGCAACAATACAAAATGTAGAAATATATGTAAAGGTTTAGTCTATGTTGGAAAACCAACCAATGAGATGTTGCTTTTTTAAATAGAAGAGATGTGAGATATTCAATAGGATTTATGGCTGGAATTTCCTTTACTTATGTACTTTAGAAAGATAAGGGTTTTTTTGTTGCAAATTTTATCCAAATAGGAGTGGGATCATTTAATAAGGGTATACATTTGGTGGTTAATGCAAATATTCAATTCAGTTTATTTATATAGTGCCAATTCACAACATGTCATTTAAAGGCAGTTTATATTTCACCAGATCATCCAGTCAAATTGATTTAAAGTTTTCTATCTAACCAGTTGATTGCATCGACTGATTGACTCGAATGCAATCCCTCACACTAAGCATGCTTGTAGCGACAGTGGAGAGGAAAAACTCCCTTTTAACAGGAAGAAACCTCCAGCAGAACCAGGCTCAGTTTGAGCGGCCATCTGATGAGGCCGAGTGGGGTTCAAGAAATTACATGGTGTAATTTTTACTGAGCAATGAAATGCTCGATTTGGGAAACATAAATCTTTATCTTTGGTCAACTGTAATTTTTTTTCATTTTTTTTTTTATGCAAATGATTTAGTTTGATAGTAAAAAAGACCAAAACGTCCAACGACTTTCTCTAAAAAACAGACATGGATCCACACAGTTACCGGTAATAAAATTAGCCATATTGAATCCAGATTTTTTTGTTGTTAACAAAGAAAATTATAAATCAAAGATATTCTATCTAAAACATGACATGTTTCACATCTTCGACAAACAGCGTCCCTCTTTAGAAATCTAATTTGCTTGTTCAATTCAAACGTTATCAATAACCTGTTAAAAATTAAAGAAAATTATTTCAAAGTTTAAAAAATAACTAAACAGAATTTATCAATGATTAAAAACTGAGCCAATGTGGATTAAAAGTAACCAATTAATTCAAAATTTTGAAACAGATTTCTGTTTTTAAAGATGATTGCAGCTCTTTCTTACACCCTTGAAAAAGAAACCACAACCACACTGTTAATACTTGTAAACATCCTGGATAAATATAAGTTTATAACTACAGTTTGATTCATTGCAAAGCATTGTCTTCAGTCTTTATTTGCCTGTTTCTCACAGAGCATCTCAGCTAAATATTCTCATAAGTTCAAAGCTTTAAGTAAAGAATCATTTTTTTTTCTGGAAGATACAAACCAATTTAACTTTCAGGTATTTATTTTTTTTAGGTTCAATTATTTTTGAAAGGTTCATTAACCTGCTGAACAGGCCATCTGTAAACAGAGAAACCAGCAAGCAGGTTTAAACTCTAAGTACAGCACATCTGCTCTTTTGTTTGCTCCTCTCCTCTGCTTGGTGGGGGCCGGCTGGTTTTCCTGCACAGATCTGCTCTTATTTTGTTTCAAATTCTCCCTCCAACAGCCAGCGCGGGGAGTGGCCTCTTTGTTTCAGCACGTGTCCTCTCCCTCCTCCAACACGCAAACACATTCCTTTCTTTGGAGGCAGACCCCAGTAGCCTGACGTGTCTGCACAACAGTTCAACAGTTCTTTGGAAAAAAAGAAAAAGAGAGAAAGGGATATAAAAGCACGCCCGTGATTCTCATGAAGCAATAACTGATGAGGAAAGCACACATTAAACACCAAAGTTTTTATTTGAACGTTAAAATACATGAAAAATAATCAAACTGCAGATAAAAAGAGCATTAACCTCTTAAAAAAACTAAACTGATTACATTAGTGGACAATTATATCATGAAGGAGCAGCTTTAGATTATGAATAGAAATTCTACTTTCTCTAAAAGCTTTGGATTTTGATCAGTTATGCCTTGACTTTTTGCATTTTGTAGCCAACAACAATCTTCATGTGAAATCGAAGCCAGCTTTTATTGCTATTCAACATGAAGCAGGCAGTTTTTTAGTTATCAGGCACCTCTCCTGTGAAATTAACTGCCAGTTTTAGTCCGTGAAGCAGACACCTTGTCTAATTTAAGGGTAGGCTTAAAACCTTCCTTTGTGATAAAGCTTATAGTTAGAGTGGCTCAGGTTATCCTGGTATATCTCTATAGTTATGCTGCTATAGGCTTATACTGCTGGAGGGGATAGGGACCCCTTTTTTATCATTCTGCTTCATTTTTTAACTCTATTATCCAATTATGCAGAATTTGTTAGTTCAATCTCTAGCGTTATGTTCTCTCTGCTTTTTCTTCATCTGGTTTAATCTGATTCTGTTTGCCTGTGACACCACTCTGGAGAAAAATATCAACATTTTTGTTTATAGGTGTTGGAGCTTGACCTGATTTTCAGTGTAGTCCTGTTTCTCTGACTGTGAATAACTGTATGTGCTCTCTTCATCCTTTGACATGGGAGCTGGCTCTGAGCTTGACTGCCTGGTTGCGTGCTTCCTGAAAGGGGCCACCGGTGAAGGTGGTTGACAGTTGCGTTTTGTATCTCTGCTTCTGTCTCCTTGAACCCCAGTCGGCTTCGGCAGATGGCTGCTCACACTGAGCCTGGTTCTGCTGGAGGATTATTCCTGTTAAAAGGGAGTAAATCCTCTCCACTGTTGCTACAAGCATGCTTGGTGTGAGGGATTGGTTTTGCATCAATGAATCAATGCAATCAACTTGTTTTCTTTAGATAGAAAACTCTGACTGTATGATTTGGTGGAATTGTCTCTGTAAAGTTCCTTGAGATGACATATGTTGTGAATTGGTGCTATATTAATAAGCTGAATTGAACTGAATAGATTTTAAAATGGAGCCAACTTAAAAGTACAGTTCATACATGTTCTATACAGCTGAGGATCAGGTAATCCCAGAAGCACACAGTGAGGCTGCTTTATCTGTTCCAGGAAGTGCTGGTGTTTGCTTTGGATCCTTGTTTTATTTTAATACAGAGAGTTTAAACC